ATGAGGACACCTTAACCGAAACACTCGCAGAAGAGGAGGATAAAAGAGACGGTAAGAGAGAAGAAAAAAGGGTAGGATAAAAAAAGAAAAAAGAGAAAAGAAGTTCTGACTCGTAAAATGCGCTACAGAGGAAAAATAGAAACGTAACCTCGCACCGGCGGTGAGCGGTGTGCGAGAGAGAGAACCACGCGAAAACAGTTTTCGTACCATAGACAGCGCAAGTGAATACAACATGGCACGAGTGACATACACCGACAACTTACCGCAGATTTTTGTTTCCCGTTTTTCTTCGGAGGCATATTGGCGCCGTTTCGATCTTGACACGCTGCCGCTCGGTGTTGCCCGTGAACGTGCTCCTCTGTGGTATGGCCAGTTCTGTGGTCTCGCACAGGATGGGCTTCCTCCACAGCCAGTTCTGTGGTCGCGAAGGCGTAAGGCTGCCGCTCGAAATCGTCGCGGCGCTCGATAAAAAGAGAACTAACTGGCTCTGCACGCAAATGAAAAAAACTAAAACAAACACAAAACGAGAAGGCCTAGAAGGGTGAAACCGGAGCGAACACTCAGCCTTGTTCGCGCATGCACTCTTCTTCTTCTTTTTCGTTGAGACGAAAATACGTGAACCGGCATGGAATGAAATGGCACTACCCCACAAAGAGTGCATAGCGGAGACTCAGGCGAGTCCACACGAGATGTAGTCAGAACCCAGCCTAACAAAAGTCGATTTAACGAAGTCCTCTTTTTAATGAAGATCATTTTTTTTGTTCGACAGATACCATAGAGATTAAGGTTGCTATCATCCCGAAAAAAAAACGAAACCAACTTGGCTCCAACTCCACCTCAGTGAAGTCGTTTCTCAAATAAGTGATGAAAAATACGATGACTTTGGCAAAATTTCAAAACCGAAAAGCTCTTATGTTACTGTGTACTCTAACCCTGTCAAGCTGAATCATGAATACATAGGCGCCCTATTTACAACAGCAGTTTTACTTTGACGAGACTAAAGGCGTGTCTGTGCATGAAAAATGTGACGTTTTTTCCCAATCCTACATGCCACACGATTCATGGCTGGTCGACCTTCGTCGAGAAGAGTCAAAACCTGGGCCATTCGAATCATACACCTTATGATCTTTTTCAGACGCCCTTAAAATCACCCATGAAATTCCATGATATCGCTTCATCAAATTTTTAGAGCTTCAAATAAAAACCTTACTTGACAATGGCCAGCTATGTTTGTAGTTTATATCTAGAAGTAAGAAAGAACTTTCACCATTTCTGCTTTTTGAAATTTTGTGTATTGACGTTGACTGAGACGCTAGACACGTTGCAGTCAGAAACAGAGAGACGTCCGCACTTATGAGCGTCACAGAAGCAAGTCTTTAATTAAAAGACACCCATCCCAGCCTTGACATGGGCGGCGCCAGCTGACCTAGGACAGGCATGGCCGCTGGATAAAATCCAGTGGTCGTGACATGGGTGACCTCACAACACGTTCTTTCTTCAAGAACTTGTTTAACCTTACAAGTTCAGACGGGCTGGGGGAATAACACGTACAGTGGCCACAACGCATTCTCGAAACACCATTGTCTCAAGAATCACGGCCTACGTCGGGTGCTGAGGTCGCGTCAGTGTCCGGTATGCCCACCGTCGAATTAGCAGGGGAAGCATCCTGTGTTGCACCTGTAGGGGTTTCAGAATCCGTTTGGTTCTACTGTGAGAACATCAACAGCTGTCAGTGATTACGCTGGAGAACAGCATGAACATTGATCTATCTCCACGATTAACAGCGTGGTCGTTGGCCCACACTTAACATTGTAGCTCGGACTCCTTCAATTCGAACTCAAACTCATTCTCCCGTCTCGGGTAGAGGCAGCAGCCTTGCGAAATGACACTGAATAAAGTTGCATTCACTTTTCGTCTTGTAAGACGCATCACTAGCGGCAACTGTGTCTCTAGCAGGCCTGGACGATAGGAGAAACTCTTTCGTCTTCGGTAAGCGAGCCCTGAGCTGCCTCTCCATTAGGTAAGCGAGCCCTGAGTTGCCTCTCCATCATGCAGGGCTGAAGCCATTCACGCATGATGTATCCCTGTAGCTAAGTAAGTCTAGAGGTGGGTCACTTGATTCGCCAAGAAGTTCCTTGACTGTGCAGGGCATTCGTTCAGCCTCTTCTTTGGATTGAGGTAAAATGGAAGATTCTGATCATGAGGGTTGAACCATAGGAGTCAGCAAATCCCCAGAGCACATGGGACGAAAACGGTAGCCTGTTACTGGATCTCACAACTTCTGAGATACCATGTCGAAAAAAAATGTCTTGTGCACCTCGACGAACGCAGCAACTGTCGACGATTGACACGATGATGACAAGCAGAAACGTTTGTTTTTGCTGTGGAAGAGATCCATACCCAAAGCTTCCCATGGGCGACTCGGTAATGGTGTGGAAATAGGTGGTTCCGCGGGATTTATCCGAGTGCGTGCACACTGCTCTTATTGGACTACTATGGACTCGATGTCGTTTGCAATCCTCGGCCACCATACCGGCCCTCTGGCTTTCGCTTTGCACTGGTTTACACATTGATGACCACCGTGCAGCTGGTTCAGGACTACTGGTCTCAAGAAAGTAGGAATCACGATACAGGGACCTCTGAACAGAAGACCAACACAGACTGTGATCTCGTTAGCAACCACAGTGTACTTCGTCAAAGGTAAGGACAGTTTCTTCGTGTGAGACCAGCCTCGTAGGGGCTTGATAAATAAGAGATGTGCACTTGCCACCTGTACCGTTGGGTCTTTGTGTTTCTGGGTGAGTCATTGTGCTACTTTCTTGCTGGTGTTCTTGTTTTATTTTTTATTTTATACGTACTGTATATAGGAATCGGGATACTCTTTACAGTATGGTTGTTGTTGGCTAGTCTACGAGAATACTTGACGATGAAATTTTAAATTCGCTGAATGGCTCCTTGCTGGCTACCTTGAACCTATGTTTTGCGGATGTTGTAGTGAAATTTCTTATTATTCGCAATCGAAATGATAACTAAGCATAAATACTATTATTTCTTTTTCAAGCTTTCTTGTCGTCTCAGCTGATACATGTTCATGAATCCCTTTCTCAACCCTTCTTAGAGGCTGACGTACATCGAGGCACGCCAACGCAACGCGTAGCACTCTTGAGAACAAAAAGTGCGGAGTTGGTGCGCATGCTCCTTGAAAAACAAGGTTCCAGCAAAATTTGCATGCTGGCAGCCATGAAGAGTTACGCCACTTTCTAACTTTTTTAGTACAAGGAGTGTTATGGTGTGAAATTGACCAAAACAAAGACATCTAATGAAAGGGAGCTGGACTGTTCGATTTCTGTCAGAATTCCTCACTCCAAGATCAGGCGATGTTATGATAGCTTCAGTAATTCTTTTCAGCCGTGGCTTCGAGTTTTTATATGGCTTCGTTGTTTGACGTTTTAGACCGACTTGTTAACTCGGCTTTTTCAGGATTACTCCGTGACTGAGATGAAGACTGTCAATTCTAGTGAAACTACTAAAGAATGCACTGAGCTTGTTCTGGTTAAGTTTACATTGTAGCTGCATTCAACCGGCGAAAAATTGGTTTTACGAAAATGAATGTCTGAAAATCTAAGACAATGTGTGTCGCCTGAACAACTAACATTTCGCCTATATGCTTATACGTAACCACGTTTTAAGGGTTATAGATATTTGTTATTGATATTTATGTGTTCATATATCATGCGAAATAAACTGCGCTCGCAGATCACGTGACGACATCTGGCAAGAAGGCTGGGCTATGATGGGCGCTGGCTTACACTCACTGCCATTAGACTCATTACATATACAGAAATAGCCGAAGAGGTCGACAAGAAAACATCATTCATCCTAGCTCATTGGTAGGAGATCCGAGGTGTAATGCGGTGGTTGTGGATCGGATACTACCGACAGAAATGATTTCTTGTCCAGAATGATTCATTTTCAGTTTACGTCACTATTAAAGCACAATACGGCATACCAACACTAACGTCCTCTATAGCCTTGCTTGGCGGGAATTCATAATTGATTCGTTTGAATGTCTCACACGCACAAGCCCACACACACACACCACGCGCAAGCACACATGCACGCACCCACAAACACACACACGCGCGCAAGAGCCTCTCTTAAAAATTCACTCTATTTTCTTTAGAACATAGCGTAGAACATCCGTTCGATGACTTGAGCCGTCATACGAGGGTACCGTAAGCTGGTTTGCGGCGCCGCTGTGATTACGCAAAGCCAATCGAGCACAAAAACACAATGGCTTTGGGTTGTGCCCAATTTCCAGCGTGTGAATACTGCCCGGAACACAGACGCAAAAGTCACAAGCTGCTTCTTGCAGTTTATTGCTATAAGCTATTACATACGAAACAATGACAAACCTTGTCTTGATTGTGTTATACGTCGATGAGTGCAGTACACTGTGAGAAACTCAGCGAGGTTTTTTCGCGATAGCAATTGTGGACACTCTAGGAGTGTTTTAGCAGTCGGTGCAACCATGGGTTAAGGCAATGGAAAACTTCAATTCTTCCATTCGACATAACCGCTTACTTCTCTAATTAAGAAGTCAATAACTGAACGATTTCACCTACTGCCACAAAACGAAGTCATTAGCTCTGTGAAGATGTCTGCAGCTACGAAAGAGTTCATCGTGAAGACATAAAACAAACATCACATTTTTCATTTTTTTGTATCTCGGACGCATTTCTTGAAACACCCGATACATAACCGGTTGGTCCGCGTCGATAAAAAACACCATCAACTAGCATGACACTGTTTCACTGTACACATTTTCACAGCATCATGTGCTAGGTTTTTTGGTGTGTAAATTTAAAACGAAACGCTAAATATTGTCAAGGAGTAGTGACAGTACAAGATCAGGCCCAATTGGTTCCGGCTGAAATGCTTTGTTGGTGAACTAGTGTCCAGCAAAGGAAAGGCTCAAGGTACAAAAAAAGAAACAGTCACTGTACACTGATAACTGCCAGCACGGACAATGGTCATCGGTAATCTTTATTGCCAATTGTGGCCATCTCTGAATGACATCATAACCGATGCCTTATTAACTCAAGGACATACGCCAATTGTCACCAACACCTCAACTGATTAGTGCACACGCATACATTCACGCCAGCTCACAGTGAAGGATGTCAAAGGTGAAAATTCTTTTGAATCCTGTGGGACAAACGCAGCCACCCGGGCATATATCGAATTCGCAAACCTGTGAATGAAAAAAACAAAACAAATAAAGTTTCGCACAATCCGGATTTACGCATAAATCGACGTATTGCAAGTGTTAATTTTATAGAGGCTGCAACAGTCGGTTGCACTATAGATGAATGCAAAAGTCGTTTGAAATACAATTGTCACATCCCCACATCCACAGGCTTGTGCACATGAGAGGGCAGACCAATTCCCGCCTTCATTATCTAAGGGGCGCAATGCCTGTCCCAAGCCTTCACCCGGTCGCACCAGTTTTGTAATTGTTGAATGTGCCGGGAATTTTCAGAACTGTTTAATTCAGGGCCCTATGACGATTTTTCACGGATGTTATTGTAGTCTACATCTCCTGGTAGTAGTACATTGGGATTTCAGATCATGTAAAAAGTCTATCTGTTCTGATTTATGTTCAACTAAAAAATATGTACAGGGCATCAAAACTGATCATTAGTCCCCCAGGACGCCGAGTTTTGTGACACTGTTCAGTTGAGCATGCGAAATAGCGTAATTTATATTTCACAAAGCTTAGAAGCATGATGCCGTAAATTCTGTGCGAGAAGACGCAATTTCGAAGCCAATAAGCCTACAAAGCTCCTGCAGTATTCTTTGTTGATGGGCCTCGCTGTGTATCGTGTGAAGTCGTAGTTTACTCTTGGCGTAACTTTTTGGGGTTTAGCTTCCACACTGAAACGAAGAGAAAGAAAAAGAACACCTTAAAACTTATTTTCCACTCCGCTTATTACATATACTGCTGCCGTTGAAATCGAAGTAAGTTTTCTTTGCATAAAAACATTTTGTTCTCCAGTAACAGCTCTAACTTCTTCCGAATAGAAAATACTACAACATTTCTACGTTTTGAGGTTTTCTTTCAGCCGTTGAAAAAGCCTACGTTATTATGAGGGAATGTAAGTACATGTGGAAGATAATTCTTTAAAGTAGGCAGTGGTTTCAGTATTCTGTAATGATGGCTTGTTGTGTCATGGAAAACTGATGGAAAGGTGGGGTCATACTCTATTTCCGTAAAGCTTAATAATAATAATAATAATAATAATAATAATAATAATAATAATAATAATAATAATAATAATAATAATAATAATAATAATAATAATAATAATAATAATAATAATAATAATAATAATAATAATAATAATAATAATAATAATAATAATAATAATAATAATAATAATAATATCTCGTGTTTTCACCGTGCGCTGACACCACACAGTAAACGGGCATCTACCCTTTCAGATGCGACCGCCACGGCCGTAAAGCTTCGTAGTAACAAGGACAGGCACTATTTTCGACGAAGGCGTAATCATTTCCTCAATAGTTTCAACAAGAGGAATACAATAAGTGAAAGAAGAGTTCATCTTCACCCACTTGAGCGTACCGAAAGTTTGGTCGTGGACATTACTCAATGAAAACAACGGGATCCTAAGATTCGTTGGCGGAGCCACGTTGCACTTTGAGAGGAGGTTCCACGACTCACTGATTTTAAGTGCCAGAGCGCTGTTGGTGTACCTCAGGCATAGAGAGGCTTAAGTAAGTATAGAGAGTATAGAGAGATGCATTACAATATGAGCCGTAATGACAAGCAGCGGAACGCAATGCGAGTATGAGTCTCGAATACTCAACCGTGGACTCCGTGACCAACTCCTCCTGGGTGCCGTTGCCGTAGATGATCGCGGAGGCCACACTCCAAAAGCGTCGCTGTTGCAAACGGTGCGGCATACCGAATATACGCCACAGTGTGACCACTGCCGTGATTATTTTGCCCAAAATGACATATCAGTTAAATTTTGCGAACGCTAGAATTTGTTTTCGAATTCAGCAGATATGGAACGGCGATTCTATAACTCCAATGCCAATTTTAATGAAGTGCGTCAATTTCCCTTTAATATAAGTTTGCGTTCTCTCAAAGAAAGGTGAAGCACCTAAACATAGAAATAAAGAAGTTTTGGAGCGAGTTAGAACAATTTCATCCCTGCCGGATTCGAAAGGAGTTGAGTAGAGTAGAACTTTGACAGTGGCACACACTCCCACGCTGGGGAATTGGCTGAGAATCGGATAGTATTCAGAATAAATTCTCGAGATGAGACAGTTCTCATATTTTATTGGAAATGGCCCTTCTTAAGTGAAAAAAAGAGATTTTATTGAATTTTAAAACATCGTCAGTTTCGCTTTTTAATAGTATAGGCTGCAGGATCGCATTTAAAACAGGTCTTTTCCTTATTTCTAGTTTTGCATGCCAGTTTTGTGTATTGTGCTTTTTTAAATAGCTGTGTCTAGCATTTACAAGCACAGTCATCAGAATAGCTGAGATTATCCTTGGCCCTCCTTATAAATATATTGTCGGTACCGCGAATTAAAGATGATGAAAGAACAATGCAAACTAGCGATAAAGATGAAGCTCGTTTGTGAAAAGGGCTCTACATTGAAGGTGCTTTTTTGACAATAGGAGGTTTGGTTAAAATTACTACAGCAGTAAGGCTGCTGTCGTTTTCGTTGATGAGATATACATTGAGGTTGGAGCTTAAAGTATAATGAAGTGACTAATTAGCACCAAATTTTCAATTACTTTCAAAAAATTGACTCTAGGGTAGGTTATAGGAAAAAGTTGTAGGCCGTCACCTTTCACGGTGTGCCCAATTTTTTAGAAATCACATAACTCATACAAGGAAAGTTGTTTAGGAATCCCAAAAAAGTACGTTGCCGGGATGCTTGCAGCATAACAAATTTGTTTTAAACTCTTTCGTACATTCCAGTCGTCTTATTATTTATTTTGCCTATACTCACCAGACGGTAGCAAGAGTCGCAAGTGAAAGAATCCAGGTTGATCGGCCTTCTGTCATTCTATCTGTGGATGTTTGATTAAATTTTGTATATTCAAGTAAACTCGCTGATTTAGTCCCTGATAGTCACTACCAGTTCAAATACTTGCGGACACACTCTTGTTCACTTTCTTTTGGCGAATAAAATGAGCATAATGAGCTTGCCACGAATTCAGCGCTCACAACTTTTACTTTTCCAGTTATTCGGACTTAGCGTTCGTGCAACGAGGCACATCTGTTCCAAGTCTGTTTAACGCGTAAAGATAATGCCTGCAGACTGGCAAAAAAAGCAGCGTACGATTTTAAAATTGAAATAACTAGGAACAAAAATGAAACAGCTGTGAATCAGAAAATCCCCATTTGCAGTTCGTCTGCTGAAACTCATTTAGCCCCGATTGTTGTCTGCGCACTATCGGAATCAGTCGATGAAACATTCATCCGTCACGTTGCCTAATTAGTAGACGCTGTAACACTGATCTAGGGAGTCATAAAAATTGGTGGGCCAAGCCCGATGGCGCGATTTAGATTCTCGGTTACGGTGGAAGTGTTCCGGTGGGGCCAAAGTGCAAGGAGCACTCATGTATTTAAATTCAAGTGCACATGTGGAAAAAAAAACTCAGGTTTTAGGAGCAAGCATATTCAGCAGCCAGCAAGTCAGCATGCGTCACTCGAGCGAATTTCAACCCCATAAATGATAGTCTGACCACTTTCTCCATTTCATTCATTCGATGTTTTATTTTATTGTAAATTTGCATATTTTAAAGCTTCATAGCTTTTTTCCTTATACCTCCTGCGGCCTGGTTCTTGCCCGATCCCACTTTGTAGGTAAGTACCATAAGCAGACAATCATCATCATCATACTCTTCATCTTCATTTGGCTTTTCCTACCACTAGTGCGACTGTCTTCCCCGGCGGTTTGCCCACTTGCTGAGAGTGATGCTACGTCAACGCCATGGCGAGCACCATGGTCACCATCTCGGAGTTTCGAGGCTGCCCAATGGCGAAGGCCACAACGCACGGAGCCGGTTTCAAGGCAGGAGGCAGACCCACGGTGGAGGTATTTGAAATGTTTGTCTGCTTTTCAAGGCCCTCATTGGGAGCGCCACGTATTCTAGAAGATTATATCAGAGTGACACTTACCCTATCACACTGCAGTGGAAACGAATGTTATTTGAAGAGCGCGTGTTGCAAAAAGAAAAACGAAGCATCGACAAGCTGTCTTCTTTTCTTCAATTGGCCTGTGGAATAAAAAAATCTTTGACCATCTGACGCTTAAAGGAACCATGTGTAGATGCGAAGCAGCGGGCGCTAACACTTACACTGAAGGCGCGGCGTTGACGCTGGCGCTATTCAAGCGAAAGCCATGTAAAGACGTCCTTGACTGAATCACGAGCACACGATCCAGTGCTTACATATAAGAGGTGGCCAGTGAACGGCTGTGCAGAGGGAGCTGGCGGTTTTTTTTTACTTGCAGACGCTGCCTGCATCGTCCTTGCTAGGCTAGAGAAGAAAGGGGAGCGACAGTTTTGCGGGTGCCTTTCTGGGCGTGCACGAGACGTGAGACGTGAGCATGCGTAGGGGGTGTACTAAAGGACAGCGTTACACAGGCTAGTCATTGAGCTGCTTCACATCTAGAACACTCGTCGAAGCGTTAGCTGTAACGGCTTCCCATCTTCACGAGCATTAATCTTATTGAGCGCCGATCTTTTCCTGCATTGCCTCGTTTGTAATGGCAGTTGATGATGATGATGAGTTCATGGAAAGCACAAGCAACAGCAGCCGTAGTAATCTAGTGGGTATGGCACTCAACTGCTCACCCGTAGGTCCCGGTATAGAATCCCGACCAAAGCGGCCATATTCTCGATGGAGGCGTAAATGTATTGTGTACTTTGATTTGGGTGCACCCTGCAGAACCCCAGGTGTTCCAAATTTCCGTATCCTTCTACTACAGCATTTATAATTACCATATCATGGTTTCGGTACGTTAAACACCAAAAATGATTAAATCACGAGCAACCGTGGGCTGATTTTATAAAATGATCTAGTGCGTAGATAGTAGGCAATCTTCAAGATTAAACACCGTGATACGTCCAACCACCATCACAATACAAATACGAGCTGTTCTTTATTTCAATTTTACGTTGAGACACATAATATATCTCTGGAATATTTAATTCTGAATAATTGCTACTTGTACTTTATCATTTTTAGGCTGCCAACTTATTATAACTTACAATATACGGATGATGAAAGCTCACACGTGACTAAAAGGGTTTGTGAACTAAATGTGATCTCCAGATTGCGAAATCGTAGGTGGTCTTGTGTAAATATTGTTCTCTTAAAATATATGCCTCAGCGAACACCACGCCGTTTTACCATGTTGCTGGGAGATCGGAACAACACTCTTACCGTCAAAGGATTGGCATGCTTTCTTAAACTTAATGTTGACGCATCCAGTCTGACCGACTTAGATTTTGCCACTCGTGCAGCACCTCAGATGAGCAAACTGATGACAGACCCGTTTCCCCGCTTTTGTTCCGGCGATGACTAGAATGGGTAACTATTGCAATCATTTTTATTGAGAGCTTTGAAAAGCCTATGTTGGCCATCGCGATGATGGAGTGGTTACGGAGCTCGGCTGCACAGCCAATCAAGTTTCGAGTGTTTGTTCTCTGCTGCGGCCATAACATTTCGAGGGAGGCGAAATGGTAGAGGCCCATGTAGGTTAAGGTGCACCTTGAAGAACCCCAGGGCATTGAAATTTCCAGAGCCCTCCACTGCAGCGTCCGTCTAATTACGTTGTGGTTACGGGCTGGTAAACCTCAGAAACAATAAAAATCACTATTCATAAAGGTTGTTATCGATGCAAAATTCAATGAACAACGTGATGGTGATGGCGCGGTGGTGGCGACGACAGAAAAAAAGTTTGTCTCTATGCTACATATAATCGGTATCGCAATAAAACAGTGCTGCATCGGACAACAGGCAAACAAGAAGTGTTGAAGGACAAGCGTGTGTTCCTGTTCCCTTATTGTGGCGTTGCTGATGGTCGTAGTGTTGAGGTAGCATTTTCGGCTAGTGCGCTGATTCTTGAAATGAATTACCAACCAGCTCTATCTCATGCCCTTATCTTTAGTTCCTTAATAACCAATTCAGTACTGCTAAAGTGATGCTAAGGTTTTGCTCTTTTTTTTAGCGGACAGCCATGGCGGATACCACTGCTACCAGTCAGAAAAAAGGCGGCTGCGCTGGCGGGACACAAACAGATCTGGATCGGACACTGCTCCTCCGTGAAGACACCGGCTTTCTATCATACCGCTGGTCTCGCAGGCCTCGCTGTCAAGATGACGTGGAAGGCCCTGGCATCTTCCAAGCCTCCAAGCAGCACCGTCCCCAAGAAGAACGCTACCAGCCAGCGACTCCTGGCGGCGGCTTGAGTTCGCGAATGACACTTCTGCGCCTAGCGCGTCTCTGCACTCCCAGCATGCCTTATGCTGATATTCATTTACGCCTGCATTGTGATCAGCTTGCCACTGCTGCCGTGCTCCAACACACAGCCGGCTTCCGTTGATGCTGAAGAGCAGTTTGACGTGCTACGGCTCTGCCGAGGGTGGCCGTCATATTTGAAGTGATAGGGTCAACGATGCTACCGTTGACACGGAAGGTCAATGAGACTGAACCTAATTGTATTATTCGTTTTCGATAAGCGGACGTTAATATGTGGACCGTAAATGACGCTGCCTTCATAATAAATGTGAACTGTATCGGATAAGCTCTTGTTTATATCGACGAAGGCAAGATATCAAGAAGCAGTTGTCTTGCAAGAGCAAGAAGTCAATGTAATCGTTTACGATGAAATATGCATTCCCTATAAAGCGAAGACCCAGGCGACAAAAGCACGGAACTTCTTTCTACACCGGTATAACACCACCTTCCTATCGGTGACCTACCATGATAATTTTCTCGCTCGGCAGCAATCAGTTTCGTGCGATCTAACGCTCGTGAGTTTGAGCCAATATAATTGTTACTGCCACGTAGCGACTGCTTCGGCATTCTAAAAGAAATGATGCCGATGCTTGGGGCATGATATCTTCAATAGTCTGAACAAGATCATCAATTCATGAGGGTGTTTCGTACGCAACCACGTGTCAGGGCGAGGCAGATATCATCAGAAGACTAGTCCGGAATACACATATTGAAATACAAGCACTAGAAGCCTAAAACTTAGTGGCTGAAATACATTTTTAGACTGTAACGGGATATTTCGACATACGTTTACAGAAAAATCAAAAGAGTGATTTGGAATACAGATACCGGAATACATTTACAGAATACAAATCCTAGAACACTTGTTTGCTTCCGGGAATACTCCACAGAGAAATTTATTAGGCGCCGGATACTATCCAATTACTAACTGAAAATCACGGAATCAAGAAAGAAATAATCATTCCAGACGTGGTAGCTGTATTGATGATCGTGTTATTGATTAAACTGACCTTAAGTGAAAGGCAGCTTCTCAAATAAGCCGCCGTTTAGACGGGTGCTTCCTCACATGGGTCATTCTCTGTGTTAGACGGAATATTTGCTGCCTCCGACTGTATCGGCAACGAGCGGCGTGCCTTTGCATAGCGTAGTACAAAAGTCTTCCTTGTCTCCTTAGAAACAAGTCAACTCATTTCCGACAAAAAAAGTACACCTATCTTCAGCTAAGAGCAACCATGTATAGTTGCGAAGCAGCGGGTGCTAATATTTACACTGCCGGCAGCGTTGACGCCGGCGCTCATCGCGGTGTTGCTCATGAGAGAAACCTGGGGAAGCGCAAAGAACGCAGTGATGGACTGGTGTTTGCTGCTAGAACATGCCAAATGCTGCAATTGGGCAATGAGAGACGGAAGAGTGCGATTGCACGCAGAGACCCGCAGTCCCCCTTAGGCTAGCACGCACGCTGCCAAACGTTTCAGGGGCGAAGCTCCTTAAGGCGTATAGGCAAGACCGCCATTTTCGTAGCCAACTCTAGTTCTCGGAGTGTTCACTGGACGGCGTGGCAGCGTCATGCATGGGGACGCATTTATAGTGTGATGAGAGACCACTAGATGGCCCTCACATGACATAGGTGATGAATTGAATACGAGATGGCACTGCTGCGCTTACTGCGTATACTCCCGTGCGATAGACGACAGGCGTTCGCTCTTGCGTTAAAACTGCGTTCACTTTTTGCGCGCTTCCT